TTTTTTTAAATCCCACAACAATCAAAATTTTGGAAAGAAGGCAGTAAATTTGCAGCTCTTTCAGTATAACAGACTAAGCATAGTCTTTTAATGGTCACAGAGAAATTTAAGTTAGCAATATTTTTCTGCTCTTTTCTAAGAAGTAAAATTATGAAAAACCACTCCAAAGGAAACTGAAAATTCTAAATCTATTCAAACCTCTAACAAATGAAACTAAACGAGTAAAGCACATATTTTCATGCATCCACTACAGTAAGGAATACTTTATAATGCACACTATGTATAAAATTTACATATAAATGCAAAATTTTTTGCATTTTCTCATTCATGGAAGGGAAATGAAATCTCTGAAAGTTGAGGAAAATCTGAATTACAGAACCAAATATTTGTAAAACTAGCTCTAAAACAGTACTACATATAATCACACCTCATCACAAAAAGTAAGTGTGATAAAAATTATGTAAAATAGTTCTTTTTAATGGCTTGATTTAAAAGGGCAAGATTTAAAATGTAGATTTGTATAACTAGCTGCTTAAAATTTAACAATCAAAAGATAAATTATTCAACAAGAATATATTCCTAAGCAATAATGAAGTTACTGTCTCATTCCAAATTTGGTATTCTTAAACTGATTATAATTGAAGATGAAAACTGAAGATAATAACTCATGTAATTCAGCTGTGATTTAACTAAGTAGTTCAGATTAGCTGAAAATTATAGAAAGCATTAAAAGAAGATAAACTACACATAATCTTCAAAATCTTGTTAAATATTTTCAAACACCCTAAGGTCAAACTGGTATTATATTCAGTGGAAAACTACTAGTATATCATCACTCATAAAAACAATTTGTTTCTATCAACTCTTAAGTTTTTCAGAGCAATCTTTTTCATGGCAAAACAGTTTTTAAAAAGTATATAAAATACTAAATCCTTAAGGCAGGAAAAAAAAAAGTATATAAAATACATACGAGGATTCTGTATCTTTACTGAAGAATCTGGATCTGGATGTTGTTTATGTATCACCTGAGTGCAAATTTGTTCTATAAGAATCTACAAAATATAACACATTTTCATAAGACAATGATTATATTAGCATCATTATTAATCAACTTTAAGCACTTTACTAATAAAAATTTCACATATATTCCATGGCATACTAAATATCTTCTATGTAATATGAAATTACTCAGTATCTTCTATATAATATGTAATTACAAATCAACTCTTAATTGCAAAATTAGAAATAAAATACTGATGCTGTTTAATAATTTAGAGATTAAAAGATAAAAATACAAGTACATTCATTTTACATCACTCTTCCAAAATTTTGGATGGCAAATCTAATATTCTCATTTAATATCACTTCAATTACACAAATGTTTACAATAAGATATTCACAGAATAAGTAAGTTAAACTCTAACAACAATCCTACCTCAAATAAGACATTATATGTGGTCATAGTGATTAAATTTGTCTGAAGCATGAGTCTTTCAGCCAGCAAGGAAAATAACCCATGGCCAAGCATGACTTCAGCTTTTCTCCTACAATTAGACAAAAAGAAATGATCCAATTCCAAGACGTTAAATATTTAACATTAATATTAAATAAAATATTCAAAACATATTTTTATATAAGTATTAAATATCAACTAAAAAATATTCCCTCAATTTCTCTCTGATCTAGATGTTTTAGGGCAAATATTTCAAGTAATAAAATAATAACTACACTATATTGTGTTGTTGACTGCTGTCAAGTTGAGCATAATTCATAGGGACCCAATGAACAAAAGTCCTGAAGCCTTTCTATAACTATCATCATTTATCAAAGTTCACAAAGTTACCAGAGGCACGTTGTTCAGGAAGTGGATGCCAAGCAAATTAAGACAAATAAATAAATAAATAATGTTTACATCACAGTAAAGCAAAGAAATCTCATCAAAATATTTGGAGGAATTAATTAATTAGTTGCAACTTACAGTGTTACCTTAAAAGTTGGCTTTTTTTTAGCCTGTACAATTAGCCCCTCTGGTCTCCAGCTACCTTAACTGTAAACGCGGTCTTACAAATCAGCATGGTCTTGCAATCATCAATGGCTATGGAACTAGGATAAAAGAAAGAGTACTTCCCACACTAGTGGCAAGACTTCAGGGGAACGAGATTTTTGGTAGTGAGCCTTGAGGCAAGTAAAACTTGGAAAACTGGAGCAAGACCCTGGTGAAAGTAGAGAGACTGTGTCATTGCTGTGGGGAAACTGTGGCAAGGTATAAACAGAGGAGCCCCGAGATAAAGGCTTCAAAGGGTTTTTCTATTCTTGATGAATGCTTGAAGGAAAAGTTGGCTCAAAACTACTCTCTGGCAAACCTTGCTAGATGATTTGGATTTGACTGTTGAACAAAAACCAGAGCCTGGACTAACTGCGGAACTATGCATTGAGGGCTAAAACTTGGGACTTCTTTTGGGGGATAGTCTTTGCCTCCCACACTCTGCAACATACTTCTCTAATACACTCATAATTAAAAGGCTGTGAGTCAACAATAAAGCTCTTGCTATTGTTGTGGCTCTAGAGGCCCACAGAATTGCAATACGGGCTCTTTATCTGTTTCCTACTCTGGGGATCAGAGAGACTGTGTTATTCTTACTCCCTCTTACCCTTTCAAAGAGATGTTCATCATCCTATGGCCACATGTTCCATTTTCTCCTACTTAGACATCATGTTTCTAAGGCAAATTTCCTAAAATAACCATAAGTACTTAAGTAGAAAAGCAATATAAGAGAAATAGATGTTGGAGAGGATGTGGCAAGAAACTCTTACATATGTTGGTGGGATTGTGAAATGGTGCAACTATTCTGGAAGGCAGTTTGGCTCTTTCTCAAAGAGTTTAACATAGACATTCCATATGACCCAGTTATTCCACTACTTGGAATATAACCTGGGAATATTAGAAATGAGGCACAAACTAAGAGTTGTACATCAGTGTTCATAGCAGCATTACTCACTATCACAAGAACATGGAAACAGACCAAATGT